TTGCACTGCTGACCTCTTTTCAATAGGAGCCAGATAAGCATGCAGTGGTGCTGTGTGGCTCATCGCTGCGGTGGTGGGACGTATGGAAGGACTCGTGGTGGAATGGATTAAAGCATTGCATAGAAAACTTCATGTGGTTGGCTTTAGGGATTCCTTGGAATTTAGGTTTAACCCTCTTATGCAAGTATTTAGGCTGGACATGGCTTTTTCTTTGAATAGTTGAAATTGATCAAGCGACATACATGTGTATGTCTGTCTTGGAGTATTTAGACAGCAGGTGGGTTATTGCCTGTCAGACCTCTTGTATTCCTCACTTTCTGATTCCAGTTACAAGATCAGTTTACATTGAATGCTTGAAGTTACTCTATCATCACGTGTCCAGCAGAAGGGTGTTCTGTCATTTTCTTTTGACACATCTCAGTTTGCTTGATTAATCCTTCTGCTGGGCGGTAGATGGTGTAATAATTATATGACTTATTTATATTGTGCATTCCAGTAGCTGGTGGAATCTTAGGTCGAGTTCGGGCGGCCTGTTCTTGACACGGGGTTCTTGTTCTCGCGCTCGAAGGGGGGAACACGACTCAAGAACACTGTTCTCGGAACAGGATTACACACCACCTCCTCGTCAGGGTTTTACAGGAACACAGGGAAAAACTTGTGAGATTTTGATTTTTGAACAGCTGCAAAAGTAGAGAGATGGCTTCCAAAGCCATAGACAATGGGAAGTTTTGCAAAATTAACATTAATTATTTTCCCTAACCCAGAAATGAATGTTCCTGTTTATATAGAAAGGAATTCAGCCCATCCAAACATTAACTCGGGAATAACGTAGCCTACATGTACATGGACGCCGCCATGTGCATGTTGCTTGTCACTAACTACCATCGATAACCGGTTGTTTGTTCCCGGCGTTCGAGCGGCCGACCCACGAACAACAAATCGAGCTGTTCGTGAACGAACGAGAACAAGCCGCCCGAATTCAGCCTCAGTGCACTTTACACCACATTATCCATGCTCATTGAGTAATGAGACAATCCTGTCAACCATCGCTATTCCCTGTGGCGATTGCTGCCATTGGTGCAACCATATCAGGTGCTACCAGGTTTAAGTAACCCCAAATAGGACCCTCTCTGTCCGGGGGGTAACATTCATTTTCCTGAGTGGAGAGAGACAATTTAGCACAAGTGATGTGACCAAGGTCTGACGCCACATTGCAGGATTTGAATCCTGACCATTTTCAAAACAAAAAAAAAAATTGCTCATTAAATTGTGAAATAGCCATAATAACAGTTGGTTATTAAAGTTACTAGTCATGCGATGAGATGGTTGCTTATGGGATGCTGTTATTTTTGCCAAAATGGGAGTTTTTATTGTCTAACATACTTCATGTGCATTCATTTAAGGGTGTGCATAGTGATTGAAAGGGCATGTGCATTGTTCATGCACTGAGCTGGAACTGGCTTTTGGAAAACAAGTGTTTTAAAAGAAAGTTGGGATTTGACCATTGAAGATGAACACCATCTCTCATGTTTTTTTTTCTCAATGTAATGAACACAACAGAAAACAGGAAATATAGCCATTTTAATTTTCAATACCTCCAACTCTGTCCAATTCTAAAAGTTTCAGCCAAAGCAAACTACCTGTATGTATTTTATCTTCACATTTTAGGACCTGTTGAAACTTCAACTTCCCCTTTGTTTTTAACCAGGGAGATTTCCCCTCTGTTTTTCCATGCTGGGAGAGAGAGTGTCACTTTGATGTACTGCAATGTGATTGTTTTCATCTACTCCATCCCAGTTTAGTCATTTAAGTTGAATACCCCTCAAAAACAAGATTTTTGGAGGGGGCAGTCAGTCAGGCTGAGATATTGCATGTAGTTTATGTAGCCAACTTGATATTACATTCCTTGCTGACAATGCTACTGATCTGTAAAGCTGGATTTTATTTCCTCAGACCCATTTGTGCCACGGACGGTCTAAATCACAAGTAATGTTTTATTACATTCTTGGAAAAGGCACTTGCATTGGCATTTTTCGTCCAGAAGATTGAGAGATAATCTTTAGGGGAAGGGCCATACTTGACAGTGTCTTCACCATTCGTTCAGCCATCTAACCCAGAGCAAAACCGCAGACAAATCCATTAATTAGCTCATAGCACATTGTGTGTGTAGTGACTTACCATAGCTTACCTAGAACAACTCGGTGTTGTGTGTTGGTCGGTAAAATCCTGTGGACAACTCTCACCTCATGATCATGAAATCAGTCATTGAAGGGGAAACATTTGGCTTGTTTCATGAACAAGTGTGGAAGTCGCGTCTTGCCGTATAGAGTTTGCATTTTTGCAATAGTTCCGTAAAATAAAACCGCTTGAATGTAAAGAATTATGGTTGAAAGGTCAGACGTTGTACTTATTTTTGGTTGTTTTGTTTTTCAATTGAAAAAAAAATGCCGATTTGAAAGAGCATATTTTTCTTAGATGCTTAGCAGAAAACATTTCACATGTATAAAGTTCCGAATGATGAAGTAATTGTACCATATCTACTGTTTCATAATGTACAGTGCTCTGGGGATGCAATGGAGTAAGTAACGCTTATTGTCAGGTGAATTAATTAAATGTAAGATAATGATGTCGCTAAATTGTCAGTTTGAGTAGGCGATATAAATATTTTAGACTGCATAAACCCCCAGACTAATGTGAAATACCTAGACAAATTAAAGACAGGCTCTTAATAGCAATGTTCAAACTGTATTTGTACATGTATTCGCTTTCTTGTGTTTTTGGTTTCAGTTTTTGTAGGCAAAATATGAATGAATGCACTCCATGAGAAATGTCCAGATTGCCCGGCCATTTTGTTCATGACCACGAACGAGGTACGTGTTTTGGGCTGTTTCGTGGTCTAGTGCTTTTATTCACACTATTTCACATTTTTTGTGGTATTAGCTGGTCATTTCCAGATCTCGATTTTTGTAAAGCCTTAAATCTGTCTCCCTCCATACACGCTGAAAACGCTATCGCTGCTTGAATCCCTCCTACATTGGATTTGATCGGTGTCACTACTCCAACATTTGGCCCCTCGCAATTAGGAATGGCAACCCCGGATCCTATAGGATGCACCGACAATCAAAATAAATAACAAGATCAAACGGTCTTCTGGAATTCCAATATTCTGTATTCCAATATTTACAACACGAGCTCGATATGGTATTAGAAAGTGAACTTCTTACAGAATTATTGAATACAGGTCTGTGATTAAGGCGTAAAAACTCAATTATACTCAATTAGTCAATCAAGTGACTCTGGGATCATCACATCAATCATAAAAAAGAAATGTTCCATCAGATATCCACTTTAAAGTATTAAAATAGCAAAAGTAACCGGTCCACCATCTGTTGAAGTTCTGTAGCCCCCTGAATCTGGCGCCTAACAAAATCGCAGTAGATCAGCCTAAAGCTTCGGTCAAGCAGAGCAAGTTCAGAGTCTGTGCTCCTTAGCGGTACACAAGGGACTCTTCTCAGTCATCGGTAGAGTCAGTGGGACCAGTCTCAACATAAGGCCATTTACAATAAATGTAGACCCAAAATCTTAAAAGTTTTAAAGAACTAGCGAAATCATGCTCCAATTTATTTCCTTTCCAACCTCGATCTCCACAATTCCAAATTACGACAAATCTTACATCATTATCCTTATTTTCATAAATGTAAATTTCCGATCTTCTCGAAAATCACCAGTCTCAATCTCCAGGATCAGTTTAATAGTCTTACTACTACAATTACAGCGAAACTTCAGGCTTTTACTTCAATGTATAACAGCAGGAAAATCATCAATATTACAACACTTACGACAATTTGCTGAACAACTGTCTTGGTGATCTGCATCCTTAAAACGTTGTGTAGTGCAGTACAGGAAGTTGAATATCGTCGTTTGAATATCACCGGTAATGGCCTTTATGGAACACTTTCTTCTGGACTTATTCTGGGAATAAATAGCCAATTGGTTCATAAGAGTTTGTGTTTTATTTGAATAACCTTTATAACGGAATTTACACAAAAAGGTCATTTATGCGATCTCATGATCACTCCTTGTGATGAAACAGCGCATTTTGTTGTTCGTGAACTTAACTGTCCTGTGGTGGTCAACATGTTGTTGGCCAGTCTTAGCCAAATTCGTACAAAGACTTTGAAGACTGATGTTTTGGAGTGACAAAATAAAATTACAAACACTGCATGGATAATGGAAAAGTTCATCAAAATCTATAGAAAAAGTTATTCCCCAAGGCAAGGGTAAATCTAATTGTACATATTTTTTTTCTATTTCCTGGTCACTGCGATAAGTTGTAGTTAATTGCAAAGAAAACACCACAAATAATTGCTACGATATTACTGGCCGCACTTGTCCGGCTAAGTTGCAGGCAATAAGCAGGCATTTTGGAATGTTTGATATTGTTCGTCCGACCGGGCGGCGATGATCATCGAGCGCTTTGATGTGCCTGAGTCGTAACTCCTGTGTCCTTCCTCCATCCTCCTGACTAATTTTGTGACCAAAAATAGCGTTCTCCCATGGAAAAGTGTATCGTAATTGACATTTACCCAAAATAAAGTAATCAGACTACACTTATGTGCTGAGCACTATACCGAAATTGTCCTATTTTCCTATATCATGTCTTGAATGTTGTTGATTATTGTTGAAAGCTCTTCAGGATGGCAGCCAAACAGCCCGACAAGATGTCAATCTGTACAGTGCAACGGAATCAACGCCATTAACATCATCACCGTAAATTATTCCAAACAAAACAAAGACTATCAATTTTCCAAGTGTATGAAGTTTCCCAAAGCAAGATTAAACTTCCCGTTTCTTATGTTATGTAAATCATCAATGTTAACTGAATTACAGGGATGAGAAACAAACAAAATTTATGATAACAATAATTTTTCAAACATGGTAGGCCTACCATTTTAAGAAGTATATAACTTAAAACGAACCTGTTTGGACACGCCAATCGTCTCAGCACTGAAGAAGAAAAGGAAAGCTTGGCCAGACACTGTTGGACTTACAATAACAAGTGATTTCAGGGGGATTGTCAATATGTACATTGGGAAGCTGTCTAACTCTGTCACAGGCAAATCTGGTCAAGTTCAGCCATTCACTATCAGTGAGGATTCTTTTATCAAGCCTTGTGCAAAAACTCTTAGTGCTTTATCTTTTAGAGCGTGCTCCAACAAACCTGACAAAATTAAGTTGAAATCAGCATCTGTATACTCGCTTGTCAAATTAAACAACTCTTCGACACTCGTTGCCATACTAAAATAGGTGTAAAATATCACCTGACACTGGCAAATTAATCCACCTCAAGCAGAAGCTGCACTCCCTCATTTTGCAGGAGTTGCAGCGTTGCAATTTAGCAGTTAGTACCAAAGGAGAGCCTCCGTTGCTTAGGAAATAGTGCCCCTCTTGGTCCAGCTTAGGACCCATAATTAAACTCTCTCCGCGTATCCGTTCCGAGCGGAACAAAAGAGGGCGTGTTTTTCGGTACTGCATAGGCGTGCGTTTACAATGGAGATCAGTGGCGCGTTTGATGTGGAGCACGCTGAGTACTCGTAACGTATTAATTTCCGTACATGCAGAACGCGTGCAAGAACCCGTTTGGAAAACTTACAACCACCTGTCTTTCTGTTGGCGCTTGGGGGTGCACTTGAACACTAGATCCCTGAACGCCAACGCTTACTGGAAGCTTCTAACACGCTTTGCCCTACCCTGTTTTGGGAGAACGGTTAACTTAACCTCTTTTTTAAATCAACACATTTCATTACTATCTTAGATTAATTAATAAATTTTTTCAGCTCTTGAGTTCTAATATTACTTTTAATTCGCAGATTTTGATTGTGTGTGGGTGTGTAGGGGGGGAGGCTGGGGGCCAGTGGTCGAATTGCCCATCTTCCCTTATCTCACTGACATATAAACGCATAGACCGCCGGTCTATTGCGCGTAAAACCGTGATTTTGAAAAGTAGGGGCAAACAATCGGCGGAACGGTGGATGACGGCGCGTTCAGTGCGCATTACGCGCAATGCACTTACATTGCCATTATTTGTTTACATGTACTCCCAAAATGCGTTCACCTTTTTTGCTCTTTTGTACTGCTAACTCTTCCTTTCAGATGTTGCAACTGCATTGTTTTGAATCCCTAGGGGCCAGATTGAGTAAATAGAGGTTTTTTACCTTCGAAAAATGGCTTTATAGAATTGTAGGACTGGAATTCCTCAACTATGCGTAAATTCCTTATACCGAGGGGTGAATTTGCCCATAGTTTTGATTTTAGTCGAGAGCCGCGCAGATCACGAAAACCCCCTGTAGTTTTGAATAGGACCAGGCGGTCTATGCCTTTATAATCTGTGCCTTATCTCCGTACTGCCCTGAGCTGAGATGCATCCTCACTGGCAAGAGAATGACAGATGGAGCTAAGTTTTCCAACCAAGTTCTTGCACGTGTTCGGCGTGCACGCGAAGATCTTATACTAAATTCGTTGCGCGCACTCAGCGTGCTCCTCGTCAAACGCCCATAAACTTGCGCGCCTTTGCGGTGAATGCGTAAAGGACAATTTCATTTAAAAATACGCTCTCTTCTGTTCCTGCTAGCTTGGACCGGAGAAACCCCAGCTGATGCCGTCTTTTCAGGTATCAGTTGGGTGTGTAGGGACTTTGGGCTTAGGCTTAGGTCTAGGGCGTATCGGAGGGGGAGGTGGAGTTGACCGGCGAGGGTGTGAGTGTTGACTCAAAATCGATTGTTGCGACGAACAATAAGCCGTGGATCCTGGTAATTTCGTCAGTGCTGTGTTGGAAGCCTCACCTTGTGCGACATCAGAACGTGGTTTGTGAATTGTTGAGGAAGTTAGTGCTTGCGGTGGTGGACGGGTGCGGCGTTGGCGACCGTTCCCAAAGCACGGCGGTGCGGGTGGTGCCGGCAGTCCATACTTAGTTGGGAGAGACTTAGTTTTAGAGCCGGGTGGGATAGGTGGTGGCTTCCTTTTGTCAACCACGTTTATCCTTTCTTGCGGCTCCTCTGATCTTGACTTTGATTTCGTTTTGTTTGTCTCTGCCTCCTGAGCTGTGACGCTGTCAGGAGTACTTTTCTGAGCAATCGGTACGACGTTCTTTCTCGCACTGCTATTTTCATGACGGTCTAAAGTGTCTAACTGGAGGATGGCGTTGCACTCAGTCAGTTCCATATTTCTCACCTGGAGCTCCATCACCATCTGCTCCAGCTCGGCTCTCTCAGCATTCTGTCGACGGACTAGAGACACGAGACTACCGATCCGATGACCAGCATCTGGACGGTGCTGTGAATCAACACACTGCCGACAGACCAGCTGTCCATCGCACGTCTCGCACTGGAACTCCAGAAGCTTGCCGAGGTGAGTTCGACACATCCAAGACGTTGATGGTCTGTCGTCTTCATCATCTTCGAACAGTCTGATCGATGATGCCTCCAGGGCTTCCAGCAATGCAAAGTTGGTAGGGAGTGATGGAAAGCCATCATTGTCAGCTGATGCTGGCGGCACTGGAGTGTACCGTAAGCAGGCTGGGCATCGTACCACACGACGCCCGGAACCATCTTTCCGGGAGGAATGCCGATGCTTGGATTCATACCAGTGCTCGATGCATGCTAAACAGAAGGTATGACCGCAGCGCAACACCTTTGGTTGTTTGAATTGGTCCATGCATATGGCACATGACATCTTGGATGTCTTGCTGATTGGAACTTGGTAGATCTGTGATCTTCTTTCCCAGACTCCCATTAGCCACTTGGAAGCTTGAGCGGGGCGAAGATCGGCTGAATAGTTAAGGGGTGCTGGGCAGGTGTAATTCACTCAGCCACTTGAAAACGCCAATGAAGTTTTTGCTGTTGTTACTTGGTGAATCATTTGGTTTCATATGGATCAGTTTAAGGAAACAAAAAATCCCACCTTATGTTTATGTCGTTTTCTATCTTGCCAAAATGGTGAATTTGCCCATAAGTTGAATAAATGACCGAATGACGAGTTTCCCTTACTTCCTGCTGCTTACCGTCAAAAAGAAGTGGCACAGTTCACGTGGAAATTCCAACCTCTTTGTTTCCATCACATGACTATGACAAATAATCGGTGTGCGGTTCGATTACACCATTGCGTATAAAAACACAAGTATGCGGTGGCAAGGGTATTTCTGGCATGACTATCTACGCACTCAAAACCTAAGTCTGAAGTCCAGGTCCAGCACTTCGAACTCGACCTAACGATATCGTGCTTTTGTCATAAGAAATTAAAGGAATCGCTTGACTCGGACTACATAATAACTAGGCTGTCACACAGTAGCAATTGGCTGATCTGTTTTGACCGTAACAGAGCTCTGTGGATTCCGCTGCCATCACGTGCGTTTTTGACGAGCGTTTATCAGGTTTGTTTTGGCAGAGTGTGGTTGTAGAATTTACATGCGTGACATGGTCCAACAGACCAATTGCACCCGCTAACCCACGTGACCTATAGTGGGTATCAAGCATCAACAAACATGGCGTCCTTCCATAGCAAGTGTGTCGTAACTGAAAAAAAAAGGTTTTCGGTGTACTACGTCGGTGGTCTGAGAACTACGGAAGTGTATAAGGGCCACTTTCAATTTTTTTTTCGAGTGACTATCTCACAGTAACTCGCAGCGGTGAGATAATAACTCGCCACGGAGAGATAATGACTCAAAAAAAAAAACTGTTTTGCAAGTGGCCCTTGTACCTTTCCGTACAGAACTGTACCGACCGTCAGCTTTATTTTTGGTAAATGACGCTTATTGGGTTTACGGGATCTTCCTCTAAGTATGGTAGGCCTACAGTTTGTTATGACCGTGTGCAATGTATCACCGTCATTTTGAATAAAAACCGCACTGAGGGAGATCAGTCCCAGGTGCTTCACACGTTCTGGGTAATTCCATGACCTTTGGCATGGTGCTCGAGTTTGTTGCGCCAGGAGAGCCAGTGTGCTATTTCGTTTTGTTTTTAGTCTTATGTCCTATTATTTTTATCTTGCTGATGTATTTTATCTGCTTTAACGTACTTTTTAATGTAGTTGTACTGTATTGCCATGTAAACACACAGTTTCTGTACGTGTAGCAGATGATGTAATGGTACCGCACACGATTTTGTGAGTGACCTACGTATGTTCATAGCGCTCATTGCCAAAGCGCTTGCGCAAGATTTGCAACGAGAATAGCAACAGGCTATGTCTTATTTCGCGCGCTCTGATTGCAAAATGAGGTATCATCTTTGTCTATGGATTTCAAGGAAACCGAGCATAAACAATGAAATTTTCATGACACATGCATACATGTACTGTTTCATTTTTCAGTAGCATTGATTTGGTGCCTTGCCTCAAAACGAAATGAAAAATGTGGGTTTAAATAACCCGAAAATTATTTTATTTTTCACTTGATAAATATTGAGTGTTGCAAAATTTGATCAATATCTATTAAAGTGAGTTTTCCTGTGGATTCATATAAACCAGAAGACCGTCTTAATCGATTGCACTCAAAAACTGGGAATCCGCCGGTAATGTTTTTTTGTTTTAAATAAGTTTGAATTCGAACCAAATGTTCGTACCAAATCGTGTGAATCCAGACGTTAGTAATAGAAAAATACGTCACTTATCTCATCTAAAAGAATTGAATTTCCTAATTAAACTCTATTCTTCGAGTCAGGAATTATTTCTTTTTTAAAAGAGGATGCCCTTCTTGTAGGTCTTCGTCCGTGTTGCAGCTTATTTTTTCCACCGTCAGGGACTGAACTGTTTTTCGCCATTTGTGGAGTCCAGCATTCTTCACTGTACGCAGTGCCTGCCAAGCTCTCGCCCGTAAGAACAAGTTTTCTTTATACAAGATCTTTTCTTGATCCCTTATCACTATCATTGTAAACCAGAAGCAATCGGCATTTTCTTTGTTATCCTTAAGTGTAACATTCTCAATAAATCATACTTGTTTATTTGTTGCTTATATCAGAGTGATCTTGTTTTATTTCTTTCTTGCATTAAACAAAAGCTTCAGAATAAATAAATAGTTTGGAATTTCTCGGATTGTAACAATATGGATTACTCGTTTTATGCCAGCGGAAAAAAAATGAAATGAAAAAACTGGAGTCGTGGTATCGATCGACTTCAAGTCTACCTTAAGTCTGTAGGCGGCAAACATGCACACAAAAACACACCCTCACCTATTTACGATACATGCCTAGCGTGGACAGTCCCTTGTTTTCGCGCAGATTTTAAAAACTCCGTAAAAACAGTTGCTTTTTGTCAAAGGTTTCCTTGACTTTCTATTCCTTTTACGACTGATGATCCCAACCCCAAAATGTCCCTAAACTTCTTTTCAGAGAAGGGGAAACGTCCTGTGGACATGTTTAAGTCCATAGAACGTCTTCCTTTCCTGCATCATGTAGACATCTTTTTTTTCAACAAGTCCACATTAGCTATGTAAGGTTAAAAATCGTATGCTTCTAGGAGAGAAATCCCGTTTGTATATTTAAACTTCTGTGCAGACCGGACAATTGTGTAACCGGGAATACGGGGGGACATCTGCTAATTAAGACCTTGCCCCTCCCAGTGCCCACAGCTAAGAATTTGAACAAAAGTGCTACATGTTCACCTTAATAGCAATGTGAAATCCACTGAGAATCACACCTTCATAATCACGTCCAATACAAGTGATTCCTTACAGCCTGGGTCTCACTTATATATACGCCACTTGAAGCAACTTTTAGCGAGAACTGTGCAGTTCTTTTGGTTTTTTTTATCACTGTTCAAAAGTTCTTTACTGTATTTAAAAGTGTCTGGGTGAAACTGGCGCCAAAATGCTCTGTGCACTGTATAAGGCTTGATGATAAGAAGCTCTTCATTGAAGGTTGCTCCTTCATCTCAGTGGCTGCTGGTGAAGCTCGCAGTGTTTGCCAATGTACCCTGAAAGATTAGAAAGAGTCATGGGAGAAACATTGAGTATGGAGGTCATTTTACTAAGGGAATAAATATGAGCTTGACGGGTCTTAAACGTTAGCCTATTTTAAGACTGGCCAAGCACTTATTTATTCCCATTCATAAATAATATCTTTTTACTGAGAGGGTCAAAAGAAGTTAACATATGAATTTCCAACGATTTTGTTCTAAAATTTTGCTTTTATTTCCCGAACCCCCGTCCATTTTTATGGTAAATCCCCTTCAATGAACTTGGCGTGCGCGTGGCACGTCGCGTGCACACAGACTCCTGACCAATCAAATCCAATTAAACTTTCTCGTATCCATGTGCCAGCGCGTGATTTGTGCAGCGGGCATTATCACTTCTCAGCGGGCATTATCACGGTCAAGTTGCACGTTGTTGAATAGAGAGACTGTCTGAGGTATTTATGAATTCAGGGTAAATGCATTAGTGTATTGAATTTTGGACAAAAAAGGAGATGGAAGTCTGTCCAGTATTTGTACTGTTTTATACATCTTTTAAAACGACAGAAAAACAAACTGTGTAAATAGCAACACGGGCCTTCATTGAATAATTTGTTCTCTGAGATTGTGTTGACGAGCCGGATTGCACTGAAAACAAGTTGTGCGAATTCTGCCACCCGCTTTGAATCTTGAGAGAGCAACAAGTACTTGTTTTAGCGGTAAATTACCATGAACTAATCCACCTTTGGTTTATAAGGATATTGCAAGAGCGGTCATTAGCTCTACATCATACCTACCGGGTATGCAAATGCACTTGAATCCCCCAGATTCCCGTAAACACGTGCCAGCATCTGAGCAAGGATTTTCAGCACAGAAGTCGACCAAGGTCTCACAGAGATCCCCTGTAAAGCCCTCCTCACATTGGCAAACAAACTCCTCACCGTTTGCTGGCACGCAGTGGCCGCAGTTGTGACAAGGTTGCGATAGGCAGGGGCCTACCTTCACCTCACAGTATCGTCCGGCCCAGCCGCTAAGACACATGCACCAGTACTCGTCCCCCATTCCTGTGGCGTCCACACATGTCCCTCCGTTCAGACAAGGATCGTCCATGCATGGATACTTAATGTCTTTGCAATTTTTGCCTGCAAACCCAGGCTTACAAAGGCAGGCATATCCACTAATCATGTCCACGCAGACTGCCTCGTTAAAGCACGGGTCGGGCTGACACTCGTTGATGTTCTTCTCGCAGTGCTTTCCTTCGAAACCATGCAAGCATTTGCAGCGATAGGAGTCCACATCGTCAATACACTGTCCATACGCACAGGGTCCACTGGCACAGTCATCTATGTCGTTGGAGCATGTCTCACCGTTGAATCCAGCTGGGCATGTACACACATAATTTCCATCTACTGAAAGGCATGTCCCTTGATTCTTGCATGGATCACTCCGACATGAGTCCGCCCACAGCTCACAACGGTCCCCTGTCCGACTAGTCGGGCAGACACACCGGTACCCATCAACGATATCTACGCACACGCTCCGGTTTCCTGGATTTTCATCCGCTTGACCCACACATGGTGAGCTGGCACACTCGTCCAAGTTTTCTTGACACAGCACACCATCGAATCCGGGAGGGCACTCACAGACAAATCCCCCCACAAGATTGAGGCATCGTCCGCCATGCATGCACGGTTCTGACCCGCACTCGTCCAGTTCTGTCTCGCAGTACAAACCAGCATACCCTTTGACGCATTCGCAGCGGTAACCATTCTCTAAGTCCAGACAAGTTGCACTGTTTTGGCAAGGGTTGCTTGCACAGTCGTCTGTCTGATTCTCGCATCGATACCCGTTATACCCCAGCTTACACTGACATAAAAATCCAACGCCTTGGTAGTCTACACAACTACCGCCATTTAGACAAGGACTGCTGCTACAAGCATGTACTACCACATCGCAAAGGAATCCTACTACCCCGCTTGGGCAAAGACACTCAAACCCCCCAGCTGCGAAGAGACACGTTGCTTCATTCTTACACGGATTACTCGAACAGACGTCGATCAAAGTTTCACAGCGACCCCCTGTCCTAGTTGGTGGACAGATACATCTAAACCCGTCCACCATATCAATACAGACACTCTCTTGGAAGTTACCCTCATCAACACAGGGTGAGCTCTCACACTCATTTATGTTTTCTTCACAAAGTACTCCGTCATACCCTGGTGAGCATTCACAAGTAAACCCATCCACTTCGTCTACGCACTCCCCTCCATGCATACAGGGGAAGGAGTCACACTCATTCATATCTATCTGACAGTGAACTCCAGAAAATCCTCCAGCACACTCGCACTTGAAGGCGTTGACGAGATCCACACACGATCCATTGTTCAAGCATGGGCTGCTGTTGCATTCTACTATCTCAATCTCACAGTGCGTGCCTGTATATCCTCGAACACATCGACATGTATATGCGTCCATCTTGTCAACACAGGTAGCGCCATTTTGACATGGGTTGCTACTGCATTCGTACACTTCAAATTCACAAAGAGATCCCGTGATACCTGGAGGACAGAAACAAGTGAAATCCCCGTCTCCGTCTAAACACGTAGCGTTTCCAGCACATGGCGCTGAGGTGCATTCATCCTTCTCCACAGCGCATCTTTTCCCTTCGAAACCGGGCGGGCAAAGGCATTCAAACCTATTTGGCATATCGACGCACGTGGCGTTTGGATGGGCGCATGGATTCGGCGCACAGTCGTCATTATCGACCTCGCAGTTGACCCCTAGGTAACCAGGTGCGCAGACGCACTGATACCAGCCAATTCTGTCAACACACCGCCCGTTATTTTGACACGGTGAGCTTGAGCATTCATCAGTGTTTTTCTCGCATCTCACCCCTTCGTAGCCCCTAGCACAGTCGCAGCTAAATGATGTGGTCTCGGTCTGGCATGTTCCGTTGTGCAAACAGGGAGCAGACAGGCAGTTGTCCGTAGTGAGTTCACAAAGTCTCCCTTCAGTACCCGGTGCACATTTGCACACAAAGCTGTTTGCCTGGTCGACACAGGAGCCATTTTGTTTGCAGGGCGAGCTAGCACACTCGTTAATCTGGATATCGCAGTTCTGACCGGTGAATCCTAGGTGAAAAAAAAAGAATCATAAAACTGCAAATGCTGTCTAATAAATCGGGAAAATTTGCTGATTGCTGAAACGAAAAGAGGTTATGTTTTCTGTGTCACTTTCGGCAACACGTGAATACACGTAGCTCCTAACTAATGTTGAATTCTCGTTGTTTTCTTTTTTATGTGATACATACCGTCTTGGCAGGAGCACAGATATCCATTGACTCTGTCTATGCAGGTCCCATGCACACACGTTCCATCCTCACAGTCGTCAATATTCTCCTCACAGTAGGTACCGGTAAAACCAGCCACACACAAGCAGACGAAATCATGCACCATGTCTAGACACACCGAATCGTGCATGCAAGGATCACCGGCGCACTCATCCATCTCGCTCTCACATCGGTGACCAACAAAACCATCCGGGCACCGGCAATGAAACCCAGCCACCTGGTCGTAGCAGACACCCCCGTTCGTGCAGGGGCTGGACGCGCATTCATCTACATTGTTTTCGCAAAGGTCTCCTTCGTATCCTTCCAGGCAGTAGCAGCGGAACTCACTGAGCCCATCCACGCAGGTCGCCCCGTTGAAGCACGGCCGCCCTGTGCACTCGTCCACATTAACCTCGCAGTGTTTACCTGTGTAACCTCTAGGACAATCGCACCGGTACGCAGCCACTAGATCCAAGCATGTACCACCGTGCAAGCACGGTGCCGACACGCATTCCTGGATTTCAATCTGACACTGCTTGCCCGTGTAACCCGGTGCACAGTTACAAGTATAGTCGTCGATTAGATCTAAGCATCCACCGAAATTCTGACAGGGTTCTGACCAGCATTCGTTGACATCATGCTCACAGATCACACCATAGTAACCTGCTTCGCATGCACAGTAGAACGTTCCGATACCGTCCAGGCAGGTTCCTTGATTAAGGCACGGGTTTGTCTCGCAATCATCTACTAGTAATTCGCAGTGAATTCCTTCAAAGCCAAGAAGGCAGAAGCACGAGTATCCCCCGATCGTGTCAACGCAAGTTGCGCCGTTCAGACAGGGGTCTGACACGCATTCATCCACTTCAAGTTCACACATCTTTCCAGTGTAACCTCGCTGGCAATCGCACGTGAAATCCAGCCCCGTGCTGTGGCACACAGCTTGGTTCTTGCAAGGGTCAGACAAGCAGCGATTGGTCAGAATCTCACAATATATGCCATGATAGTCCTGTGGGCATGCACAATAGAAGCCATCGACAAGATCAATGCATGTTGCATTATTTTCACAGGGGTAACTTTTGCATTCATCGACACTGAATTCACAGTGCACCCCGTGGAACCCAGAAAGGCACGCACATCTGTAGCCGTTTTGTTGATCCTCACAAATACCGTATTGGCATGGAGAACTCTCACACTCATTGACTTTGGTATTGCAGTGTTTGCCTCTGAAACCGGGTGGGCAGTGACATTTGTACCCATCGACCAGATCCTCACACGTCCCTCCATTGTTACATAATCCGGTCCATCCAAACTTCCGTTTTTTCTTGGTCGTTTGGCATTCGTTGATTTCAACATGGCATCTATCCCCTTCATACCCTGCTGTGCACTGGCAGCGGAACCTCCCCTGCTCGTGGCTTACACATGTTGCTCCGTTCTCGCACGGGTTTGGTGCACAAGCGTCGATTAGACGTAACTCGCAATTCCCCCCCGTAAATTCTGGGCCGCATACGCATTTGTAGTCCCCGCTGAGTTCGACACAGTCTGCTTCGTTCTGACATGGATTGCTGCTGCATTCATCGACATCAAACTCACACGACTTGCCATAGAATCCTCTGGGGCAAATGCATGCATAGTCGGCCACCAGGTCAACACACGTTCCGTTGTTCTTACACAGTCCCTGAAAGCAATCGTCCACATTGATCTGGCAGCGGGTACCACGGTATCCCCGGGTACAGATACAAGTGTAGCTCTCCTTTTCTGAGCCATCGATGCAGATGGCGCCGTTTTCGCACGGTGCGGAATCGCAGTTTACGATATTTGTCTCGCAGCGTGTTCCGGTGAAACCGGCGGGGCACAAGCACTGGTAGCCGTTTAGTGTCTCAAGGCATGTTGCGAGATTTCGACACGGTGTACGCTCGCAGTAGGAGGGGAGTGGTTCCAGGCATAAAGGTCCGGTCCAGTATGAGGAGCAGAAACAACGGAAGCCTGACTGAAGCCTCTGCGTCATACATTTTGTACAAAGGGAATGTTATGTTTTTATAGTTATGTTCACATATGTTTAAATGCACGGCTGGATGCTGATTATAAAACAGATTTCTGCTTTTTCCGAATTACTCAAAAGACCTGTAGCCGTAGCATATTGACGTCACGTGTTGTTTACATGTGCGCTTTCCCATGGCAGTGAGGTGGGACGCTATCCACCGAGTCCCCATAGAAAAGTGTGCATGTAAACAACGCGCGACGTCATGTTTTAGATCAAGTGGCTGCGCCTTGGAAATCACACACAACTCTTGGTTTAGCACAAAATGTTTACTCATATGTGTCCCTGTAGAACAAAGGCGCTTACCAGAAAAATGGCTACCATGACAACCTCTAAAGTGTCTTGTGAAATTTCAAGGCATAAGCCTAGCCAAATTATTCTGTTTTGGCCTAAATACCCATAAATCTACAGCGCCTGTAGAAATCAACGCCTCAGCACAGTAGTTTTGACGGCACACAACAAAACATGAAACTGTGGGCGGAAGTAGCCTCGACAATGTGAACAAGTCTACGAAGCAAAGTCGGGATGATTCCAGATGGTGGCGCATGGATGGTATTAAAGAGATTTAAGTCATTCCCCATCCCCCACCCCTGTGCCTTGATCGATTTACGTACGCCACTATGGATGAAAGGAGATTTTTCTCGTATCACTTTGAAAAGAATCACTTCAAGAGTTACTACTGCACTCCATACCTCGCAGGTCCCGTGTCCACAAGGCTGTTGCAAGCATGGGTCGGTATCTGCAAAGAAAGATGAAGTAAGCAGATACCAAACATGCTTGGTAAACCATGGTATTTTGAGCCATTAAATGTTAAGTCAAGTATAGCCATTAATCTTGTGGTATCCAGGAGTTGATAAAGCCAACGAAATAGAAGGAAAATCTCAAATTTTAGTAGGTTATATTCGGCAAAATATCATTGCTTGTCAAGGAAATCTTAAAATTGTATTTCCTACTACTTCTTTCAAATGATCAAGTTATATGTTCTTCACCTTGGCCATATTCCCCAGATTAGCTTCGAAATATACATATCTTTGACTTTATATCATATTAAACTCCATTTTTTCTAATGTTGTTACAACTAACAGCCGATGAACGTATAGCAGTTGTCTTTAGATCATTAGAGCCACATTGTTCAGTAAAAAGTTGGAGGCCAACGTTTATTATGTTCACCATACACCGTGCATTTTTTTCGTGCACTACTTTCTTATGCTGTGAAAACTTTGCTGAAAAAAAATCGACATTATTCTCCCATAATGCTGCCAGGCTTGCGTGTTTTAGTGACGCACAAACATGGAATGTTTATTTGTTCTCAGCATAGATATCAGAAGAATAAAAAACTAGATGGGAAACGCGTATCGTTATGCGCATTGAGCGTGGGCGCTGCCATTGGTCACGTGAGTGAGGCTAAAAAGTTTGAATGCGCTAATAATGGGAGACTTTGAGATGCATGGTGGCGGCAAACAGACCGGTCCCTTTTCGCAGTCGAGATCATTAAAGTAAAGCTGCAGGGGTCAGGCTTATTCTTGTACGCTATTCCAAGTTTGCCCAAGAACAGGGCGACATGATGTTCTATTATGCTGCCATGTAACGTGCACGCGCACGAGATCACGCATCGTCGGATGTGCACGTGCGTGAGGTAACGACTGATTCGGCAATCAATTTAATTTTATATGCGCGTCAAGTCTCATGTGTTCGTACACGTTTCATGCATACACGTAGGCGTCAGCGTGGTTCCAAGTTATTCGTGCGTAATGGGATAATTATACGCGCCCAGCGTCCCCACTAGTTCTACTTATGATCTCTATGGGCGTGTCATATAGAGCTATTTATAGCACACCTCTTCCAGGTTCTTCACCCTGGTTGGCTGAAATACGGTCAAGTATGGTTCACTAATGTAGGCTAGTACATGAATTTGGCGTCAGCGTGACTCGACACGCGCCTTGACATTGCGCGCGCACATCAATATGGGCAATTTACAATGGGTGCGTTCGATTAGCTTACACGTGTAAGTCAAACTTACACGAGAGCGTTCGTTTAGCCATCACGTGATGTTCGTGCCTGCCCTGGTGTCAGCCCTCACTACCCCAGCTGGCGAGCGGGTCTCTTGAGGTAGCCCGAGTGTAATGACGTCACGGATGGACTGTTCGAGCATGGACGTACGTAATGGAACGTGGCGGGGACTTGACCTTTTTCCCAGAATGCCTTTGAAAACACACTGCAGCGTTCGATAAGCCTCATTTTGAGGCTTCCCTTGAGTGTAACACTGGTGTGTTCAGGGAAGCTAATCGAACGCACCCATTAGCGGGCCTCCAAGAGTTTGCAACGCGTTGGCCAATCACGACGTGCGAAATCTGTCAACCCTTTCCAAACGCGTATTGGAACTAACTAATGCCCGGTCACGTACTAGTCTTGAGAATTTTGACTGGTTATTGCGCCCTTCAGAGGTTGTTCGGAATTGAAACAGTTCAAACCCTGGAAGATTTATTTTCCAAGTTGTATTCATCTACTCAAAATAAGACTACATCTATGAAAACTAAAATGAACCTTAAATTTTTTGGCAGTTTTGAAGTACTACTGAAAGTTGAAAACAGTTAAAACCTTGAAAAAATATTTTTCTACTTTGAAGTGTGTTATAAAACACTTTTGGACTGACCAAATTCAGTCACTAGTGCACGCCCCTGCCCCCTCGTTCCTGTGAGTCGAGAGTCCTATTTCCCGAGGCTGAAGGTCTCGGGAAATAGGACCCCTTTCTGGTCACTCACAGTCCCTTTGGGAACATAGACGTGCACTTGTGGCAGTCCATATGTGTATAATATAAAAACTAGAGCGCTGACTCGTACAAATTGATGACTGTTGGGCGCATCCATGTTTTTGCACAAACCTATGAAAAACAAGAAATCTTGTACGGCTTTTGCGCGGCTATTTGTATATCTGCGTCTGTATTCTAAAACGATACGGCAACAAAGCCGATACGCAAACAACCTGAATGCATAACCAGTTAATGTGCGTTTCATTTTGCTCTGCACCAAAAAAACACAAACGCGTGCACGTATGCGCTACACATGAATTTTGCTGTGACAATTTTGTTTTTACAATCGGAAAACGGCTTCGTAGAATTTTATAGTTTGAATTCTCCAACTGTGCGTTAATTCCCTATACTGATGGGTGAATTTGCCCATAGTTTAGATTTTAGTCGGGTGCTGCGGAGATCACAAAAATCCCCTGTAGCTTTGAATAGGATCTGGCGGTCTATGCGTTTATATGTCTGTGACCCACATCAACCAAAAAGGACCGTTGTCTGCCGCCACCAAGCGTCTCAAAGTCTGTCATTGACATGACTTATTACACTTTCAGCGTTTGTCCAGATCCTTTTCATGTGTGTAAATCCTTCAATTTGTTAAGGTGTGAATTTAACACCCTCCGTGTTCGTAGAGGACAACAATCAGTTTGACGTGGTCCTTTGAGGGTGTTATATAACATCACAGATTTGCAGTGTTTGCATCACGCTTAGGCGACCATTTCTGATTTTTAAGTTATGTAATTGAATCAGTAGTATCTGGAACCCAAATTAATTGACTCTCAAGTTATTCAAAACCCACTCAAAGCAATCAACTAAGAATATGATACGTCGAATATGTTGTTGGAATTGACAATGTCAAAACATTTGGATGTTGGATATTCAGTGCCTGCTCTCTGATATATAACGGTATTCAAATTTAACACCCATTTTCTTAATTAATCTTGGCTACACCCATACAGTTCCAGGAATACTGACCGTTGAAAATAGCTTACCTTGTTCAGTAGACCCAACTTGAAGCAAATCAACCTGGAAAAGGATTGAAATCGAACTCTGAAAATGAAACCAAGGAATTTTTATGAAATTGGAAATATAAAGAATCTAATAGACCCACAGTTAGTGTTCAACAAGTCAAAAACCTTTCACTTTAATTAGATATTAACTTTTAAATTTAATCCTAAATTATACAGGACACAGTGTAAAACGTTCAGGTAAACTATACTCTCGGTGGATTACACCTTCTTCAATTTCACTTATGAAACTGTGTTAAGATTTGCATTTAGTACAGTACTGATATTTATTGCAAATACATTATATTTGGCATTATGCATGGATTTTGAAATTTCTGAAGTGGACTATCGCGCCATTTTGCCCAGAAACGGGCAAAATGCATTTTATAGACTCCCACAAATGTCCAAATCGTACAGTGTAAAATAGCATTAACACATTGGTAGCTTGAGCTGCAAAGTTTTTCAGGATTATTCCAGACCTTCGGATTATGCAAAATGCTTTGCTAGTTGTGCTCAGTCGTAAAAGACTATAAAGATTAGAATCCCGTGCAGTTTGGAAGTGCAGTTTTGAATAAGACACTTCAGTGGTTTAGGCTTATATATCTCCTACAAAATGTACCACTGTAGAAAGAGGAGACTTAAACAGCGCACAAAGACTGTTTAGTACCTCATAATGAACAACGAACAATATATACACCAGTGTTGTAGTCGAGTAATTTCCGAGTACCAACGTTCTCCGCAAAATACTGAACTGGGTAACAGGGAATAAAGGCAGAGTGCACAGGCATTTGATGGTAAATGTGCAAAAGTAAGATTACAAAATAAATGTTAGACTTCAGACACTCCCAGTTGTGTAAAATTTAAGTTTTAAGGAGAAAAGTACTCGGAAAGTACTCGGCCGAGTACTTTCAGAGTACTTTTGTCCTAAAAAGTTAATTTTAATCAAACAGGGATGGTCTGAAGTCATTATGTTGCTTTGTAATCTTACCTGTATTCATGTACCATCAAAGGCCGATGTACTTCATCTTTGTTCCCTCCTAACTAGTTAAATATTTGATAGAGAACTTGGTTCTCAAAAAGTACTCGACTACATCACTGATATATACGCCTATGGCTTAATAGCAATTAACTGAGGACGAAGGTTAAAAAAAATGAAATAAAACAAAAGGCCTACATGTGTGTCGAGCCTAGCTGCGGAATTCCTTGTTTGATCATGGTACTCAGAAGCACCGTCAATGCCGGCAGAGTCAGCCTCTTGATCCGTCAAGCTCTCAGACAGTTGCCCGCTTGGAGTGTCGGCATATACATGTTCATGTAGTTGTGCTGTACCTGTGCTTATTTCTGTGGCTCTGGGATCAGCCACAGTGACTGTTTAAAAAATTACGGAAAGATTTCGACATCTTAAAACAGTAATATTCATTTCTGCGGTCCAGGGGATGTATTTTTTAAACTGAATCTTTAGATGTAAGGTGATACAGATCTCTAGAGAAGTGAAAAAAAGAGTGAGGACGTCCCTTCTACGCCAGTCCAAAAGAGTGAAAACCACTCTACAACAATTGAAAACCAATGAACTCTCCGCCCCTCCACAGAGCCATTCAAAGGACAACTTGAAAAAGATTTCACAGACTCACCACCCTAAAACTTTTTTTTAGCATGCGTGTGTCACCCGATCCGAGTTCACCACCCTTTCACGCGTGCTTGCAAATAATTTTTGCTCTCGCCCAGTAAAGGGGGCAAAACCTATGGTGTGACCAAGAAACGCACTGTGCACCGCCCGCCCCTGAACTCCGAAACCCTACTGAAGTTATTCAACCACGACTGGCTGAGTGCACGCGTGACTTAGCTTGCAAGCTTGCACTGAGTGAAACATGGCAACGGGGACCGGGGGTGGGGGATGACGTAGCCCGTTATGTGTGATCAATTCCAGCTTGCTTAAGTGAGACGAACAAGGGAGCAGAGTGGAAATGAGCGTAACGTACATGTACATAGTGCAGTAATGGAACCTCGACAGAGCCAGCGGCGTACCCAATGGGGGGGTGCCCCCACAGAATTTCTTACCGATTTATTTTTTTGTTTTGTTTAATAATGGAGTGAGTAGGAAAGAAAGTGTATGTTTATTTATCAAATATTAGCACTAAATCCCTAAAAGGATGTGAGTAAGGCTTCAGATATTTTTCCCAAAGGCTGGCTAATATTATTCATGTTTGAGAGGTAGAGTACAAAGAAGCACACGATATTTCCCAACAATTGCTTGGCATGGAGCCTCGCATTCTCATGCTTTACTGACGTCTCCCATGACCATTTCAAATCTTACTTTGGAAATTTTGTTCTGGTATCTTTGAATTGAGGCACATATTTCTGCACGTTAACAACCGCTTTAGAATGTGAACTCTCCTATATTGCTTGGGGGTGAAGGGGCTTGAAATATTTTTGGTATTGTAACAGACTGTACAAGTCGTCGTTAATAAGGCAGTGGTTGCTTTGTAAGAGGATTAACAATTAAGCATTGCTGCAGGGTTTGGATGAAAAATTTACTTTATTTCTATTTGCCAGTATAGTATGTTTCTCGTGCTTTGTGTTGTGATTCTGCCGGCAAAAACAGTTTTTCTTTTCACTCTTTGGGGGTGGGGATGGGGGGGGAGGTTTCCAATAGCCCTGTACTTTTGTGGTTTGCCAGTAGATTTCGCAACAAGTTGCAAAGTTATGTAGTGTAAGACAGCGAGCGTTCAATCCCGGTCAGTCGCACGGGGATTGAAACGTCGTTCTTTTTCGTTTTGAAAATCAGATCAGCGTTAATTACAACTCAAAATGTTTTCTTCGACGTATGTCTTATTTTAAGCAGCCCTTACCTTGTTCTGAGCCCGCTTCATCTCCATTTGTGGTGATGTGATGCGTCTGAATTTTGAAAGGGAAATGAAATATGGTATTAAATAAATTTTTGTTACATTGAACAAGCGTTTTTTTTCAATGCTACGTTCAACAAAAGCACAATATGAATCTGACTGGGTTAACTTTTCAGCTAAAGTAAAGCAAATCAATAGGGCAGGATTCTAATCAGTTGTATAGGGAATACTATCCGGTGCTCTTTCAAATGAGTCATATTATCAGCCCCTGTTGTTTAAATACTGTTTCTCACGTTGCTTTCTGTGTTTTTCAAAATCTTTCAGTCTTTCTTTGTGTCTCTACTTTTACTGCTGACAGTCGCTCCGATTTTTTGTTATCCGTTTCATTTTGATCAGTCGTCCAGTCGGTCATGTGAGTTACACGTTTTCCATATTCAAAATTATTGAACAATCAGCAGGACGTTCTAGACTTGGTTTGTTTCACGTGCATTGCCAATGGGAGTGCCAATGGGAGATATTGGTGGCCTTGTTATTTTTACCAATTATTGCGAACTTGAGTGACCTGTCCAAAAGATTTTGCGGTGTCGTTTTATAAGGCCGGATAACTGTTGCTCGGAAGGGGAAACAATACCACGAACTACGAACCACCGGAAAGCAGGCGTACTCACTTCCGATCGGTCGGAAAAATTTTACCGTCTGATAATCTGTCTCTATAGGCTCGTCTATTTGTGTGCGTCCCCCAACTGGAGTGTTTGTTTAGCTCGACGTTTTGTTATGACACGAGTCTGCCGTCCCGTCCTCGGCCCGATGTTAAAGTTTCTTTGTCCGCGGATTTGTGTTGTTCTGTGCTATCACCTGCAGTTCTGCCACCAAACTAGGACACTAGGCAATGGAGTACAAAGCTGCAGGCGCCGGATGGTCATTTTCTTGGAGTGTTTTTATAAAGTAAAATATGGTATTCTGAGTGACAACATCGTCCCCATCGTATCAAGAAGTACGCTATCCTCGCTCAAAGAAGGATAGGGGTTCAACAGCCTTTTCTGTGGCCCCAAACAAAGCCCATTTTGTGGTATTTAAAAAAACAAACCAAAAAATAATCAAAGTCACATTTTTGGTGTGTTTCACTTTCTTCCTTTAAAAGTGTGTAAAGCCCTAAAATGTGGCTTCATTTCTCAGAATGATCATAAACATGTACGTGTGAAAAATACCAACCCCCCGATAGTTCCCCCCTTCCAAAACTTTGGTTCTGGATCCGTCTTTGCCTAAGCAGCTCTTAGGTTGGAATGTGCTGATACATTCATTTATCGCGGGCCTGTCTTTTTAAGTTTTATTTTGTAATTCCCAGTAACTTCAGAATGGAAAACAGGAATACCCCAAGTGTCATTCTACGAAGCGATCGTTGGAAAATCATTTGAATGGCAGTGAAAAAAGAATATATTTTCAGCTGGCCTGTCTCATAAAATGGGTGTGCGGGAACGGTATTTTCGATTTTCTAAAAAAAAAGGTGTCAAAATGACCGCAAAAACGTATTCTAAAACCCCTAAAGGTTCAGCTCCTGAAAAAAAAAAATTATGCGGAGATATCAGAAATAATGTCGAGGGGCTATGGATTCCATTCCCCGTTCAAAAGTAATACTTTGAACTGACAACTGAAGGCAAAGTGACTTGAAGACGGTCGAACTGCACAAAGGGTTAGCTGCAGAAATGAATTTTAACAATGGTGACTGTGTGTCCGTTTTCTGCATTTATATTCGCAAAATTTCATTGTTTGAGTCGGTCTGTAGTAATTGTCTATCACAGACTTGTTCAACCCCAACATGTACAAAAGTGCCGAAGACAGGATAGGATCTCACTCCCGTCACACTCGCCGAATTTCCTCCCCTAAAACAAACACTTCTTGAAGCCCGTCATATTTTTCATAGACCAGAGAGCAGGAAAAATGAATAGCTAACTCATGTACGGAGTTGTATCGGTTTATTTTCACCTTCCAGATTAAACTTCCGTAAATCAAGTTGTACAGCACGCGGGTTCGAAGGCCAAAAATGGGTCGTTGGTACTGAGACAAAGCAAACTATTCAGGGCAAGAGAAACTGTGTTGGGAGATATCCATTTACACGTATTGGACGAATACATCACGCGTACAGTTACATACATCGCAGAATGTCAGGATTACAGTCTCAATGTTGATCTAAAATCTCTGTCCAGGTTGTAAACAGTTTTCCATGAGTACAATTCTGCGAGGCTCGAAACGAATAAACATAATTAATTGTCATCATATGCCTAATAAAATTACATTGTTTGTTGGATGTTCAAGTTGTTGTATTGTGACGACGGTCAGCAGTTTGTGGGATCATGCAGTAATTGTAGACCTTATTACTATTCAAACGAATTCCAAGAAATTTGGAACAAGCGTACGCTATACATCCCATAATGACAGTTAACCCTCTGAGATAACTAGGTTTCAACGTGAAATTTTCATTTTCTGTTGGGCATCGGTCTTCGCGATGGCTATAGATGACTCCTTTGGACTTAACCTAGTGTCACTTGTTCTCAGTAATAGATTTATATTTTTTAAAACAATTCACTATAACTCCATCTTGTAACCCCGCTAATGTTCACAGGTATATTTCTCAACTCGGCCCGCAATATTTAGGTACTGTTTCCTTAAAAAAGACACACAACCCTTTATAAGATTACCTTGCCCCGCGCCTATAATAGACTCTAATATACCGAAGAATGACGCATCAAAGACAAAGGTCAAGTTCAGCAAATCTCCATTAGGAATGCACTGATCCACGACCATGAATTACACTGTTGATATGTCCCCATCAAAATTTAGTTTTACGAATTTTTTCAAAATTTATTTACAGAGCCTGTAGCTTGTACGACTGTGCGGCGTCCGTCGTAAATCTTGCGACAGGATCAAGCAACGCAGTTCTTAAGGTGTTGAGCGTGCACCCAAAATACGCTGAGCGGAAAAAATATGACGTTATATATTATCTGCATTCGTTTTAAAAGGTAAGGAATGTCTATGCCTTTAAGTATGCCAGCAACGACCTCGAAAACTGGTGGCCCAATGATCGCATTCCTTCTATTTTGTTGACAAGTGTTGCTGATTACGGTGGGCAAGAGCGGTCAAACGTTAATAATTCTGTTACCGATACGCCTAAATACGCTTACATTGTTTACACGAGGTAATCCAGTGACAAATCAGTTGAATTCCAAATTCCAAATAAAAGGAGCCTAATCTATGAGACTGGATCCCACTCCAAACTCACAGAAATCGGCGCCCATCTGACTCTAATAAGCTGCATGAATAGATTGAACAGAAAACTACATATGTAATGTGCCATATTGATCTCGTAACTGTAACTCAGCGTAAAAATAAATAACAACTTTGTGATAACCGACAGGGCAGTTCTTTCTTTAAGACATTTTGAACCAATGTCAGTTACCTGAGGTCCAGATGAAAATCTCGTTCTGCCCTAAGAAACGTAGGGCACTACTAAGAAGTGGCTGAACCTCTGAAGTTGTTTTCAACAACGTTCAGTTTGGTCTCGGTTTTAGAATTAAGCAAGAAGTCACGGCCATGCATACCGCGTCCTCAGAGACCTCATTATATTTTCTAACCTTTGGTGATTATTTCAAGGCATGACTTTCTGGATGCACTTAATCTGAAAATTCGTCAGCATTTTCATGGAGATATAAAAGTGGATTTTGAAGAAAAACGGTTTATCGAGATAAACGTATAAGAGATGTATTGCAAAAACTACTACTTATTAACAACTTCATACGGTAAGGAAACCTCCAAATTATGCTTTGAATGGTGAACGTTTGCATCATTAGAATGGACTGAACACAGTAGTGTGATTGGTCGAAATTAATTGGCAAAGACACGCAAAGATGGGGTGGGTGCAACGGGGCCATGCCCTTTACAAAGAGGCAAAATTGTTTTTGTTTTTTAGGGAAAATTATTTGGAGACGTTTTCCCTTCCTCTCTGAAACGTTAAATCTAAAAGCCCCAACCTGTAGCATAAAACAATTGTAAATATTAACTTTCGGAATATCTGTTCTTGCCTGTGAAGTGTTGTTGGAAAGACTTCGACTTACTCTTTACTAGCTGGGTACAGTTCACTTTATACCACCAGTCTTCGAGCAAGAAGGGACTATGAAGAGTGTACCCAATGCAGGAAAGTCCCTTGTAACGCAGACGAGAATAAAGTAAACCCCAAATTTCTGGAACCATCTTGATGACACTATGGTCACTGATACTTGGATGATTTGTACAGATTACTTCCAAGCGAGGGGAAAAGGTCACTTTGCTATCATGCAGGCATTATTCATTATTCAAAATCATGACAAAATATTTGTGCACTGTAATATTTAACGAAAAGAATTATACTTGTGTTCTCGCTAGCAAGATTGTCATCCTTAAAATATTCCTACCGTATCAGCATTGACAAGCTCAGGTTGAACCAAAGTCCGAAGTAATGTCGTCAGTATCAATACCAGCTGTAGAAAAGACACATTGGAAGGCCGGTGCCGGTACCCAGCCCCCGTGGCAGCTCCGTAGCATCTCAATTTGGAACATGCACTAGACATGTCTTCAGAAATGTCGGGGAGTCGTCTGTTCTTGCTTATCACTATTGAAACAAAATAGATGTGAGATATTTTCATAACTCAAAAGAGTTATTGAGACAAAATCCACCACTCCCCTTTACACTTCGGTAACTGTGGTGATAAATTAAGAAAAGACTTTTTGTTGTTGGGTAAGGCTTGCATATCTGCTTTGGGTTTTATTCGCTGGAGATTTTCACCTATTCTCCCATTCTTATCGGTTTGAATCTAACATAAATACTTCAGATCACTCCTTTTTAAAATAAACATGCAAACGAGAAGTAGTTTCATCGTTATTTTAATGAACTGTCTTAGTTCAAACGCTTACCTCGAGCAAATGGAAATTAGTCAAAAGAATATTCGGTACTCCATAGACTGGAGTTGAAGTTCAGATCGTGTGTTTCAAGAAAGTTTGTGTAAAAAACAACAAAATGACTTTTTCGGATGGGATGAGAATTGGATTGTGGTTTAGTGCAGAAAATCTACCTCTGTCAACGCTTTCACCTGTAGACTCAGTGATATGGCGGATTCAGATTCCAAAAGTTTGACACTCGGTAGAAAGAACTAAGCAAATGTTTTGCATTATAGCCCCATCTATCTGTCGGCTGAAATAAATTTCAATATCATGCACCATGCACTACTTCCTTTATTTTTTCAAGCGTGAAATGCTTGTCAATGCTGTCAGGAGTGCGGTCATTAGGTTAGGAACGCGGTTACCCTTATTGTACTCCCACATAATTCCCAACTCATAACATCAAAACATTTACAATGGGGGGGGGGTGTCGCTCGTATTTAACACCCAACCTTTACCAACGTGCCTTGCAACGCAAAGCTCAAACAAAATGTTTAATGTTGAACGCTGACGTCGTAATTTCAGAATGCAAGATGCAATTCAACAGATGACCCTATAGCGCAGAAAGCACAAAGCAAACACTCAAGAACTCATGAGTAAACAGGGATTGACTCAGACGCGGAATCAACAAATGTACTCAGGGCTTATTTAGGATTCAAATTTTAAGTTCAAATTATTCGTTATAATTTGGAAACTGAAGTATACTTGAACAGTGTTCGCAAATGCTCTTGTTTCAAGAATACTGCTCGCAATTCCCCTGAAATGCTGTCCTCCAATTTTCTAAAATGGTTCACAAACATGACAGATTCCCATATCCGCATACGTTCAGCCCTACGAGAAACCCAGTATCGAACCATAGTTCCCTTTAACTTCAATAATACTTTAACTTTACAAAGGTGATCTAAATAACTTCAGCAGCTTATTGCAAGTCATGCACTGGGACACAATCTTTCCTCTTGCTTTTTTTTTCATAAATTTCACAGCGAATAATGATTACTGCCACACTGTCAGTTTTCAGCACATTCAGTGTATGTTCTCTCAAAATAGGCATAGAAAGATGAAACGGCTACTTCTAACGCAGACGAAACTGTTAGAATAATATTCTTTTAGAGTATGAAGTCTCACCGTGAAGTTTACCGCTCTCTATAATGGGCCTCTCTTCAGTTTTCACATCCGCAGAACCAGCTGTTAATTTCCCACATAACGAGTAGACCGCAAGCTTGAATCTTGGTTAGCCAGGCCGAGAGAGGACTCGCCCCTCACTGGAGGTGAACATACCGGATCCCTTTCCAGCCTTAGACAAAGTCCTTCGGTACGAGGTACATGTACATGCACGTCATTAACGTTCTGCATGCATTCTAACTGGCCCCTAAAATAACAAATCGTGAGCCAAGTTGGCTTGGTACTCCCGCAATACAATACAGGTGCGTGCACTGGGAAGACTAGACGGTATATAAAAGGCAAGTTTTCTTGCCTGTGACGTGCACTTTCAATGTTGCGTGTAATCACTTTGATCGTTATAATGGGGTAACTGGCCACTGAAATACGAAAACCTGTTACTCGGAATCACGTTGGGTTGCTGTTGGATTCGGTTATTTAAGCTTGACGCTGGATTATGTGTAAACACACACACTTTTCCTTATTTGTTCCACGGAGGACGTGTTTACTCGTTCAAGATTTTTTTCATTGCCGCGTCAAAGCGCAATTGCAAGGTTGAAGAATCTGCGAGTAAAAAACCCGCCACCAGCAGTTTTTTTGCGGATGACAAAATCCGACGTTGATTGGCTATGGTGTATGCACCGAAATGCAGTAAACTCGGGATACGTATATTGTTTTTATTACACCCTCCCCAGGGTGGATGTAGAATCATACTGAAATTGGGAGACGGAGGACTGCTACTTATAATCAAGACCACCGTCGTAAGTTGTGCTATAAAATGGTTAATCTGGTTTCGCCTAATTCGGTTGTGCGGCCACGATACATTTATTCTGCATGCAATTGCATCACTGTGCTTTACCTGGTTGCCATATATGTACTTGTATATGACGATACTAAGGTCAGGTAGCCGGCAATGTCACTCGACCAATCCGAGAGTATATATCTCTTGATTCTTCTCCAGCTGAATGTACACATGTCTGTTGGTGATGGGCCTGTAACCTCCTTTTGCACGAACTTAAAGCCAGATAGAAATGTTCTAAAATTAACTGGACTATAATTCTGTTGTTGATGCCAAATAGTTACATACACGTGCACTGAAAACATTCTGTGACATTGGGTCGTATATAAAAACTAGCAAATGCTATGAAGTTCGAGCAAACAGCAAAATCATTTACTGAGAAGTAAAAGCATTAAGGATAAGCAATTGCTTGAATTTCTATGAATAAAATGTTTCTTTTACTGTTCAGCATCTGCTAGTACAAATAATAGTAAAGTGGCTGACTAAGCCGAATGGTTTTGTATAATAGGGCTTCCATTGTCTGCACGTACAAACACACACAGTGCAGCACGTGCCGTATCTTGAGACCTCAGCATGGCAGATAAGCACGAAGGCAGTAATGTTGATCGCAAAAACCTTGATGAAGAAAATTGCTCTGCCACTCTCAAATCGGTACAACTGCCTGCATCTGGTTTCTTGAGATTCCCTCCTAAAGGCGTACAGCTTTTCCTTTTCGTATCACCTTCATGCACGTTGCCATTTCCAACATTAGTAGGCCTAAATGCTCCTCGTTTCCCAAGCATGCCCTGACTCAGTCTTGAAACTGTCAATACACCCGTTAGAACTTGCTCATTTCTATTCGTACAAAATGAAGCAACTGCTTATCATCAAGCACAAGCTTGTAAAGAGTAAAAAAATAAATAATTTCACTTTTTAGCAATTGCACTAAAGTAAAAGCGTTTGCTTCACTATTATTCATACAAACACGAGTAAATGCTTCAAAATGGTAGTAAAAGCAATTGCTACTTTTTATTCATACGACCCATTGTTTGAGGCCTAAACATTGGTACCTAAATTGCTTCTATAGCCAATAGATATGGATACTATGCAATCCCTTTTCAAAAACCTATATGAACCCAACCTTGGTTTTTATGCTTTGATTCGGCCTTTTGTGAAGAGATGTTGAGATACACTGGGTCAGAAATTTACATATACATGTACCTTCCGCTGTAGCCTACACAGGATATTAATATATCCAGTAGCATAACCTTTATCCTTTTTCACTGCAAGTATTTGGTAGAATGTACATACTTCTTGTATTTGGTTACTCCTCTGGACAGTAAAATATCTCCATTTTCATCTAGGTTTGCTATATAGCCTTCTGTCTGGCGTTCATTGAACATGTTTTTCGAGCGAATAAGCGCAGCAAAGGAGCATGAAAGTGAAGTCTTACTGACTTCAGCCCACAGCAGGCTTCCAATTCTCATGGTGAGACCGTCATGATTTGGGGAACGCATTTCCCAAGTGAATGGATAGATGGTTAACACACTGGTCAGATTGTCTGAGGTTTGAATTCTATTTGTCTTCATTGGAAAAAGATGCCCCCTACAGAAAGGTTGTATATTGCCATTTGTAAAATGCTTGTAATTCCTCTAAACCCCCCTCAGAAAATGGCAAAAGTCCCCCTCAACCTACACGATGAGCTACCAGTGAACTGCATGTTGTACACTGTGGTATTAACAAAACGTTTCAAGCTAATCTGAGTGTAGCTTCTACCTGAAGAAAATGTAAATTCCATGCCGTATCTCCAGATCCCAAGTCACTAGTCAAAACTTCTGCTTTATTCGCTGCCTATCAACTCTAACACAGTGACAGAACTTGCTTGAAGTTGAACACATGTATATTGATGGACGGATTTGATTATAGGCTCACTACAAACAAATGAGAAAATCATTTCATGTATAAGAAGCTTACAATGTTTTACCCCAGTAAACGTGTGCATGTACGTAGTTACAACGTATATATACAATAGCAGATTCCAAACTGCCAAATTGTAGTGTCGATACACATGAAAATTTCCCAGTTAACAACCCCACATATATCCCTCGAACCTCAATGTATGAGAGCATGTAGACCAATTTAACTAAAGAATAGGATTTTGTTCTTACCGAAACTTGTGGAACACGACAAATGAAATATTTAGCACACCCCATTTGAGGAAAATTTAAACAGAACACGTTACAAATTCCTAGCCTGGGGCGGTCTGCTACTGCATTCACTGGGCTAAATCAACTCCTTAACAAGAGGGCGCTCGACCACTTTACTGGCCCACACTTCTCGCTGCTACATAACAGCCCTTACGTTCACACATCAGGGAGATAATACTTGTTAATCTACCTAGGCGGCGTACAGTAATATAATTGTTGCACATAACACCATGTCATTTTCATCACATGTACATTCACTTATGAAACAGGAAACCTTAAGCCCCTAATCATCTGAGCGTAATTCACCTTTAAGATTGACCCAGTGTACACCAAGCACACTTAGTTTCACATAAAGGAATGATTGCTTACATTGGTGTTCCCCTGATTTCGACAACACGGTGTCCACATTTAAGATTACTAGATTACTACTGTCTGCCTTATACATCCAAAATTGTTCTCCTATCTGGTCAACATCTATCCCTGGACTTCCCAGAACTCCCACACGAAGGTATCCGGAATCAGCTTATCCTTGTCGCTCTTAACCAACAGACACAGCTTGACAATAGGTTTTCTCAGGAACCTGCTTCCAACCTTGACTTCCACCTGCCTAGCTCTACCATCATGGTCAGGATACACTGCTGTCACTAGACCCAACGGCCACTGCCAACGGGGAAGCGTATCAACAACCACCAACACCAGGTCATTCACCTTGAAATTTTGTTGAGGTTGAGATCATCCCTGCCTGGTCTGGAGCAAAGGCAGTACTCCTTGAGCCAACGTTTCCTAAATTGATCAGCCAGGTACGTCTGGAGAAGGCACTTCCCTTGATTCTAGCCTCATTGTTCTCAGCCCTAACTCGAGCAAGCAAATACGTCTTGAGTAGCAGTAGCCAACGGTCATGCTATTTAGCGCCAACAAGCGTCAACATACACAAGTAGCCTCAACAAAAGCGTCAAAAACTTGAAAATACCCTCTACAGATTTAAAAGTGTTTTATTATTATATTTTAGAGACCTTCACTTGATGAAACAAATACATGGTTTAGCTACATTTTGCCCATACATGTTACTACATTTCTTGGCTGCTTGCACAACAAACTCGGTTATATGAGAAAATTTAGGCTCAACCTTGGACTGGATCAAATTCGGGGCTAGCTTTGCCCACTAAGCTTGCAAATGAACAGGCAATAACTGTTATATTTTCACTAAATTAACAGTGCAGTTCAAGTCTGACCTGTATCCTATCTGCTCAAGCGTAACACTTCCACATACCATGAGCCAAATGCCACAAGGCTTGACCAACGTTACACCTTATTTGAGGCCCGGCTAGTACTTGATTCATCACTGTGTGGGTCACATGGTGCGGTTGACCAAATAGGTCGGCCAAAATTTCTCTGGCTTTTTTGTATCCCTTGTCAGGATCCAACAACACAGAGTTTTCAATGCTTTCCTTTGCCCATCCCTTGTAATATTGAATCAAATAAACGAATTTGTCCTGTCATCAACTGCCTTGGAAGCGAAACAGGCCTCAAAACTGTTTATGAATGACCAATAATCCACAGGGTCACCACTAAAAGTGGAGATTTCTGGCTTAGGAACGCTCATAGCTAACTCCATTGTTTGGCAGAGGTTGGCAAGATGAAGACCTGCATTTTGGTCAGCTGCTTGACATTAGTCACTTTCTGTGTTCTGCACAGCCACAGCTTGAGGCTTTACATCTACATGATTCTGCACATGCACGTGTTTCATCTTCAATGAGGGACCTACTGATTCTACTTCATCAGCTTCATCTTGCAAGGCTTTCACCTCTACCCCTGCTTCTAAAAGTTGTTCTGCTTCCAAAGAGGCCAACTGTTCCTATAGTCTTAACTCTTCTCACTCCAGTTTTTTTTACTTCTCAGTTGTTCCAATTTCAGCTCTGCAAGTTTCTGCTTTGCCTTTGCCTCTCGCAGCTTGATGCTTGAAGATGTGGTCAGAGAATTCTGCCATGATGTTCTTGACTCTACCATGCTCTGGGCTTCGTCAGCAACCTCAGGGTTCAGGGTGATGCCTGTCTCCACACAATGCACCCACCCGTTAACATGATGAACAATTTTCTGGTGATTTTTTTGATGGGAGTCAAACTCAGCCTTGGCTCTCAATGCTTGATGTCCCTGAAGCCCTTCAATGTAGCAGTTGAATTTTAGAGCTCAAACACCTTCTGGAGCTGCTCATTCCTCTTGCTGACTTCCTTGAGATTCTCACGGCTTAGCATCAGCTTCTCGATGTTGCTGAGCCCTCAGGTTAAGTTTTAACCGGTGCATGATCTCTTAAGTGCTGCAGTGTCTATTTCTTAATATTCGCCTCTCCAGAAGTCATCTTTCTTGTGAACTTTTTATATAGTGACGATGTAGGCCTACATGAAAATTTAACAACCCCACAAATACCTCTTTGTCCTCAATGAATAAGAGCACGTAGACAAATATATAAAAGAATATGATTTTGTTCTTACTAGCACTTGTGGAACACGACAAATCAATTTGTGGCACACCCTATTTGAGGAAAATTACTACAAAACATGTGACAAATTCCTAGCGTGGAGTGGTGTTCTACTGCCTTCAATTGACTAAATCAACTCCTTCACAAGAGGACGCTCAACCCTTTACTGGCCAGACTTCTCGCTGCTACACTGAGGTTGAAAAACAAGGTCTGAGATGACACTGAGTAGGCCAAAAATGCTCATACGGCGAGTAGGTTAAACGTCGCTCAAACTTGTTCGAAGGACTTTGGATTCAGTCACGTGCTATTTTTTGCCACCAGAAACGCGTATTAAACTTAGCTCGAAGTCACTTACCACAGCCTGAGATCGCGAGAGTCCTCCATAGAATTCGACTATAGTGCCAAGGAGAGCCGCCCCCTGCAGCAATTCCGCCTTGATCGCTGAGCCAATCTCGTCAAGTTGTTTCTCAAGGGACCTGGGAATGTTACCCAGCGACCCCACCACAACTGGAACGGCCTTAACACTGACATTCCACAACTTTCGCAGCTCCCTTTCCAAATCCTGGTACTTCTGGACTTTTCGTTTCGTTTCTCCTTGCTGGTAACTCTGATGTCATCCAGTACTGCTATATCTACAATGTGGCACAACTCAACGGTGCACATCGTATGCAGCTGAACTCAACCAAGTATAAAGTGATTAATGCACATCATCAGTTCCAGAAACCAACCTCCAGGGTGCTGAACCTCGCAAGTTGTCAACTCCTTCATATAGGCCTACCTTGGTGTTCTTTTTCCTGCGACCTTACATGGACAAAACATATTAACACAATTCGTTCAAAAATTCCCAAACTTGCTGATTTTCGAACCCGGACCGCAGAGGTGGAAGGCGAGGAAAGAACCACAACGCCAACCTGACTCCCTAATTGTTTCGACCCACCGAGAGACTCGAACTTGCATGTCAAAAGCTTTTAGTTTTGTACACAACCTGTGGGACTTAGTAACAGATTCGGATAGAGCACTCTGATTGATTTAGGTCTGAGGGCACTGGCGTAGGCCTATATTAGTTGCATAATTCACCTTCTTAAGGCTTTTGATAATTAAACCATTATCCGATCTAAACATACTGTACACTGACATTTAAAAGAAATCCCCGTTGTAATAAAAGTACTCCCATGCAAGGTTTGATATCGGGGCTAACACTGATTATCTCCATGGAAACGAAATTGTATATTCAATAATTGTTTACGGCTATGATGTAGGATATATGACGTTTTAAACCAGGACGGACGTAAGGCTTGCACCGAATGCCAATGTCTAACATCCTGGGATTGTTTTTGCCGGTCATTAGCAAATTATTTTAATGCCTCTTTTAACACACATCACAGGTGATTCACGTTGGTATTACGAAAATAGAAAACCGAATTTCTAACGACTTGTCATCAAGTCTAACATACACTGTGGAACACTTTATGGTTGACTCTGATCACATGTTTACTGTGGAACACCGAATCAGTATCACGCAAGTCAAGCAACCGAGGATTGCTTTGCTTTTGTTATTATAAGTGAGTCTAATTTCTAAAGGTGAGACAATCGCCGAGGAAGTCTTGTTTATTATAGAATCACGTCATGATCGTCGACCAGTTCATCGCTGCAGCAAGCAGCGCAAATCTCCAGACAATTAGCCTCTTCGTAGCCGTTCTCTTGCTGACTCTCGCGTGGATCCGTCGCCGCCATCGTTCGAAGAACCTGCCGCCCGGTCCTCCGGCATGGCCCCTGGTCGGTAATGCTCATGGGTTGCTGAAGGGTCAACTCCATCACGTACTCGACAAGTGGGCAGGGGTTTATGGCAATGTCATGAAAATATGGCTTGGGCCCCGTCTGGCAATTGTTTTGAGTGACATTGAACCTGTCAAGGAAGCACTCATCAAACAAGCAGATTGCTTCTCAGATCGGATGATACAAGATGTTCAACGAGGTGAGTTGCAGACTCAGAAGTGCACACCGGCCTTAGTAGAGGACTTGCACAGGTAGTGCGCCCTTACCGAGAACATACTTTGTCCCTTTGTGAAATGCATAAATAGACCCTCTTATATTTCCATTTCCATTCCAAAATGCCCCGCTGTTACAACAGATAATGTAGCAACCATTTGATAGTATCACCAACCCATAATATAACCATCACAGTTACTGGGGATAGTGTGGGAATATTTCTAACCGATAAATTTAACAACTATATCTAAGGATGATGTATCAACTCACAAGATATCAAAAATCGACCTATGAAGGATTAGCAGGGAAGAAGGAAACACAGTGGAGGGGATCCACTTACACCATGGAGCTATGCTTGCACTGAACTTGCCTCAAGGGTTGGTTCAGGCTCTTGAAGTTTGGACAAGTAACGTTTAGGGTTTACAAGGATTAAATCTGCACTGGCTGAACTTTTTGAAATTATCGATTTTCCTTTCCGAGCGAACTTTGTAAGAATAGGATGTCCAGTAACGAAAAACCGAAAAAAAAATGTCAGTGAGCGGACCGAATGGCATGCACTCATCAGAGTAAACGGCTGCCATACGTACAAGTGCCGTAAATGTTCAAGCTGGAACCCCGTGTGCGCCTTTAATTATACAAGCGCACAACACCTAGGGCATGCACACAGCACAGGTCAGCGGGTTATCATGGATTTATCACCAGCGAGTCTACTGTGAATTAACAAGACCAACTCGGTCGCCTTATCAAGGCTATTGCTAATGGCGTGCAACATTTCTGAATGTTCTGAACGAAAAATCAAAGGTCTAGTGACGTTACAGCTTGTATGTTGATCACAAACCTCTGGAAAGATCGAAATCTTGTACGGCTTTTGTACGGCTATTTGCGTATCTGCGTCTGTATTATAAAAAAAAGATACGTTAACAAAGCCGATACGCAAATAACCTGAACGCATAATCAGTTAATGAGCGTTTCATTTTGCTCTGCACCAAAAAAGACAAACACGTGCGCGTATGCGCTGCACATGAATTCTGCCTTGAGGTCTTTTTAATCGGATTTTATCGGTACCCGATACCGCGCACGACAGTCGCCGCTCCAGAGCCGCCAACTCACTTAACACTGACTGAAATAAGGGAACGACTGCACAGACAGCCATGGAAAGACAAGCACACGAAATCGAACGACCTTGCTCGAATGTTAGGGAAACCAATCAATTGTGGACGTATTAATAATCATGTGCCACTGCGCTGTGCTTGTGAGCCTCATTTAAAAGAAGCACTGACATTCGCGTATGTTGTACATGAGCGTTGAATTTAGAACACAATTATAATTCAAAATCCATTCTATCTGATTTTGAATGTTTTATATCCAAGCACGCAAAAATGTCTGCGCTCGGCGCTCAGGGCGGCATCAATTATTGTCACGGCACGGATAATGAGAAGTTAGCGCTGTAGTTTTTATACATATAGCTGTATGGATACACCATGAGCTTTCTTATCAGGAAATAGTTCTTGAAAGGAGACTTTAGTATTCATGCATCGTGGAAGCGTCCCCAGTCGGACTTAACTTACTTGGAAAAGAATCGACGGGGAATTGGTCTTTTCTTCGCCTTCAACCTCTGCTGTCCAGGTTTTATTCCCAGCTCGTTCAACATGTGGATTGGGTTTCAGTCCCTACCTGATTTTGTGAGTTTTATCCAGAATATTCCTCTGGGGTTTTTCTTCTCCTCTAAAACTGTAACTAGCTCTCATTGTCCCATCTCTACAGCTTCTTTCAGGCCTGTGAGCTACTGTGAGTGCCTATGGGTCGCGTTTGAATCCTTGGTGTCATTACAATAAATAAATAATAATGATTATAGAGTCTTTATTCAAGTCTGATTTTCCTGGCGTGTTGTGCAAAACAAATGCTCCCCTGACACCCCGTGACGCGCCACTCCCTGTTGGCATCCCTTCAGTCTCCTGAAGACGGACAGAGCACACTGTCCGAAACGTTGAGCCTCTCCGGTTCTTATCAGAACCACACAGACTCAAAAAAAAGAGATATTGCATGGTGTTTACCGCAAGCTTTCCATCTAAGCTATTGCAGTTGAATTGTCCAACCGCATCAGCATATACATGTAGCACTTCCGTTTGTCCCGAGCAAAGGTCTGAAGTGTCAGGAAGGATGCTAGTAATTCCAGAAAATTGATGTGATGCTCTCTCTCCCGTGGAGACCATCTGCCCCCCGTCTGAATATCGTTACAGTGGGCCCCCAGCCATGGGACGAAGCATCTGATGTGATATTAACTGAAGGTGAGGCGATGAGATTGGTTTCACGTTTTATTGGTGGAGCTCTTGAAGAATTGGCTCTGACAGAACTATTTGGCCCTGGTAAAATGGATCTTTTTGAACAGCTGCAATCAGATCTGCATATAAAGCCCTGAAGAATCTTGGGGCTGGGACAACATCCTCTGATGCTGCATTCATCTTCCCAAGTAAGCGGGCAAAACTCTCTGCTGTCATTTGTGTGTTTCTGATTATCTGCTGACACAGACTTTCCAATTCTTTGGTTTTCTTTTCTGGGAGACTCAAAGTCATCTTGATTGAATCTGTTATGTGGTCAATGAATTGAATTTGATGACTCAGAGATTTGCACCCCTTCTCTGAATTTGCTACAAGCAAAATGTCGTCTACACTGCCTGTATTTGTTTACATTGTGCTCCAAAACTACGTTCATGTTTTTGCTTCTCTGTACTACCGTCTCCCTATTTCGCTTGTTGCAACCTTATTGTTTTGAATCTTGTTTTGAATGGGCCAGATCTAGTAGATAGAGGAGTGTTTACAATCGCAAAACAGATTCATGGAAATTTATGACTGGAATTCTTCAACTGTGCGTAACTTCCCTATGGGGGGGGGGAGAATTTGCCCATAGTTTTGATTTTAGTCTAGCGCCGAGCAGATCACGAAAACAAAAACATGTAGTTTTGAATAGGACCTGGCGGTCTATGCACCCATACATGTACATGTATGTCTGTGGGGTCCACACGTTTCGCACATAGTGGTTTTCAAGCGCATTTCAAACTCTTGGCGGCGCACCGTTGTGATACACCTATTATGATGATTGAGTCAATGACTCGAATCGAGTCCCGAAGGGTAAATGACTGGACTCGATTTGCGTCACTGCGAGCAAATGAATCGATTCGACTAGATTCATCCATCAGAATGCCCGACTCGAGTGAAGGTTAATAAGACCGTAGTCCCGGAAGTAAAAGCCAACCTTAATTTTTACGAAAAACAACATTTTCATATCATGCCTGTTTGTAATGTTCATGTCATGTTTTTACCATCAGGAGTAGGACGTGGTGTCATCACGTGTAGAAACCCAGAGGTAACTTTAAAAATGCCCCAAAAGACTTTTTCTCTGGATTTTGTTTCTCTTATTGTGTTCGATATTAGTGACTCGAATGACTCGAGCCAAGACTCGACTCAACATGTTTGCCTTATTATGACTCGACTCAAGTCCAGTGATTCGACTTAAATCACAACGTTACAATTATTTAACTCGAGACAAAACAGGTGGCTCGTCAATTCTGGCTCAATCCAAGGTTTCCTAAAATGTTTAATTACAGAAAACTCCGGGGACAATAGGAAGCATTTGTATTTTGTTTGGGTGAGTAAATGAGTATCGGTTCAAATAAGAATTACAGACTTTAAATGGGACACTCAAAGATAACCTCTGGCCAGCCATGATTATAAAGTGACCATTGCTTGATGTTTTACCCATCTTTCACTGGAAAATTAGGAAGCATCGTTATGTCCAATGGGGACATCTGGAAAGAACGGCGTCGCTTTGGGTTGAGCGCCCTACGAACTCTCGGCATGGGCAAGAGGAGCGTGGAGCACAAAATCAACGAAGAGGCCCGCTATCTCCTGGACAGCTTCGACGGCCGAAGAGATAAGCCCTTTGACCCTGAACACGACATCCTAAACGCAGTCTCCAACATCATTTGTACAATTAGCTTCGGCTACCGATTTGAGTACTCTGACCCCAAGTTCGCTTACCTTATTAAAAGCGTCAAAACCACTGTTGCCAGCTCGTCTTTTGCAAAGATAAGATTCTTTTCTATTTTCCGCAAAATGGACACTGAGACACGGGATCGAATTGAGAGTGTCAAGGCCTTCATCCAAGAAGTTGTAAAGGTCAGTGAAAAAATACTGTGAGGTAGGATGCCACTTAAAGTTTCTTCTTGTCTTTTTCTTTTTCATTTGATGTGAGCACTGGCTTGTTCCAGTACCTCTTCAACTTGAATGTATATTTCATTTGAATGAGAAGCATGCATAATGTCAAAGAACATTCCCTGCGAAATGCGCTGTAAGGGTTGAATGAATTAGTACTGTTTCATACACAGAGCAAACATGCAAATGCAAACGTCAAATCATAGAAATTCAGGCTCCAAATCATTGATTTTAAACACATTCTCGTTTTGAGAACACATTTGAGCACACATTGTGATCATACATTTCATTCATCAGCCAATTATGAATACTCTTTCCATTTCACGAGTGTGAAACCCCATTAGGCCTTTATGCTTTTATAAACAAGGCTTGAACGAAATCTGGAAATCTGAAGATTCGGTGAGAATCACCTAAATTAATCGTGAATTATCCCTCCAGAATAGATCCTTGCATCCCCCACAAGTACAGGAACTGCTTGAGACCGTGGAATAGAGCTTTTATACCATTGAATAGACCTTACATTTTTACGGGTCGGCCACGTCGCGCTTTAGTCCTCGCACGGCACGCATGGCCACAATGATACAAGGTCGACGACCCCATGAATGAGATGGCGGGTATTTATACAATACCTGCAAAAACCTGTCATCTGATTGGTGGATCGTTAATAACAGAACTTAATTTCACTTGACTGTTTCCCCCCTCATTTCATATACTTTTTTCACAGATAGAGAGAGAACAATAATGTATGGACATTATAACATTACACGAAACAACCAGTTGCTGCGCTTTAGACACAAATCTGTTTCGCAAAATAGCGGACGTTAATACGCAAGAACCGTTAATTTGTTTTCCACACAGATGAGGATTTATGCCGGTATTGTATTTTAAGAATGAATGTTTCACATTAAGGCCTTGCAGTGGTAAGAATAGTTTTTCTGTCAACTCACCTTACAAAATGACTCTTACCATTCATTATTCAGCCATTTTGCTGCAGTCATCGTCCGTGTCACCATTCGCGCATAAAGGGCATCAGTAGGTAATTCTTTTGTCTCCGAACTAGTTTAAAAAAAATTCTGGAGTCCCATTCTGGAGTCCAGTCGAGGAAAAAGCCTCTCTTTATGTTGCCATCCCTGCCTGGAATTTTCTACCAAGAACAAATAATCATAATAAGAATTTGATGTTTTACCTACTTTCTCTTCCTGCGACCATCCGATCTTCCCTCAAAATAAAAAAATGAAAACATTTGACTATATAATTATTTGCGAACGCTCTAACGAATCGGGACAAGACCAACTTTGTTAATAACACATAACGTCGCTATCCTACAATTTTACAATTCGCACATTTTCTCACCAGGAGGTGACGACTTCCCCACAAACATACCCACAATCACGCAGGTTGTAAGTTTATTTTGTTTATTCATCTTTTTAATTTAAGGAGCATCAAGAGTCCTTTGATCCTAATGATATTCGTGATATCATCGACATGTACACTGAAGAAATCGAACAACTGGGAAAAGCTGGAATAGTGGGTGAAGATGCTGCATTTTGTAGAACGACGATGTGGAGGGGCATCTATGATTTGTTCGTGGCAGGGACAGATACGACGACAAATACACTGTTGTGGCTTTTGCTCTACATAGCTGCCCACCAGGATGTGCAGGAAAAGGTAAGCTTGCATGGTCATCTTTTTAACATGTACAAGAGAAAGGAAATAGTAAGTGTAATCAAAATCATGGCACAAACGTATGCTACATACAAGGTTAAAAGATCACATGTCCCTATTTTTCATCCATTAATAAATCATGGCAAAAGAATACACCTTAAATGTAACTTAATTTTTGTTGATGGGTCTTTAGGTGCAGAAAGAGATTAGTGAGGTAGTCGGATGTGACCGTCAACCAACCAGCGAGGATCGTGTCAATATGCCGTACACCAATGCTGTGCTGATGGAGATACTACGCATACGACCAGTCACTCCCTATGGTGTACCTCATAAGACCCATTATGAAACTGAATTCCTTGGATACACGATCCCAGCAAACACAAGTGAGAGAATTGTTATCGCTTTATACACTCTGGGTTTATGCTCAGTTATCGCATGGAGTCAGTTTCCCTTCCTTCGTGTTTACAGGGACTTGGCTTAGATGTCTGAAATGATGCACACGGCGACAGATGGAGAAGACCGCATTTTTAGTCCACATTGGTATGGAAGTTAGTTACTGGCTGAAGGATGATAAGTGTCGAACGTAGTGAGTGGTTGTATTGAGCACCGTCACCCAAGACGTCTACAATGCATCGTACAGTTCTTGGGTTTGAATTTATAACCTCCTGATTCCCTGAAAATATAGTTACGATAACCTTTAATTCTTAGGTATTTTAACACCTAAACGAAGTGCATTTATTACCACTGTTGGTAAAAAGTTAATCTAATTTCATGCGTTTGTCCCACATTATCTGCAGTGATATTTGTCAACCACTGGACAATATTCCACGATGTGAAATACTGGAAGGACCCAGAGAAGTTTGATCCCACCAGGTTCCTGTCCAGTGACAGCAAGACTGTGAAGAAACCGGAGGCTTTCATCCCATTCAGCCTCGGTATGCACGCACAGTTTTTCAAAGAAAAAGACCCCCCCCACGAAAAGGGTATATACCCACAGAGTACATACCTGGCGCAGGTATATCATAGAGATCGTAAGTGGAATGGACCCATCCTCGACTACATGGGCTGCGTGCTAAGTGGTGGCTGACACCAGGGCAGGCACGAAGATCACGTAATGGCTCAACGAACGCTCTCGCGGAAGTTTGACTTACACGTGTAAGCTAACCGAATGCACCCACTGTAGGGTATTTAAATTGTCCGCTTCGACCGGAACAAAAGAGGGCGTGGTTTTTGGTACTCACTGCATAGGCGCGCCATGAGACGGGCAGGTATTATTCACGTTGACGCGGAGCACGCTGAGTACGCGTAACTAATTTACTCCGGCATGTATGGTCTTTGCGTGCGTACATGCAGAACGCATGCAAGAACCCGCTTGTAACCACTTGTCTTTCTTTTCGCCGATTGGGGGTGCACTTCAGCTTAGGGCGGATACCAGGGGTTAGATCGCGCAAGGCATGGTGGGAACCAACATGTCACGGCAAGATCGTCCCCATGAGAACGAGGTTGGAATGGATCTTTCCCATTGATCTCCATTATTTCGACTGGTTAGGACATCTCACATTGTTTGTTTTGCGCGGCCGAACAATGGCGGCGCCTCAGGAGGGTAATGCGATGCTGTATGCCGTGCACTTCTGGTCAACATAACCTTTTTATCACGGGATGACGGCTAAGCCCTCGGCCTCCCTCCCAAAAACAAGCCAAAAAATAAATAGAAAATGCAAGAATATCATTTCAGGAAATAACTCACCATTTTCTCCATTACTAACCCACTGGAAAGCGATAATGTTAATTTTGTGTGTGTGTGTGTTTGCTTTTAATCCTTTTTTGCACCTATTTACACCACGAGGACATGCAATAGGTTTTGTTAGTAAATATGATGTTCAAACTGTCTATGTGTTTTTCCGTCTGGTTTCGACGAGCCAACACTGAAAACATCATTAATAAAATTATTTAATTTTACACACTCTCAGGAAAAATTGTACGAAATAAAATTAATTCATATATTGAGTAAATTTTATTGAAAACCGACATGCGGCATACGGAAGTATGAGAATCTTTTCTATGAGTACAAAGTGAGCGCAGCTTTAAATGAGCAACCAAACTAACTTACAGCCGTTTTTAAAACAGACACTTATTACTCAGCTTAAAAAATTGACCTGACGTAAAGATTTACAATCTGAGAAACTTTCCGAAACTAAAAAAGTGCGACTCACATTTCCTTCTGTTCCTTCTTCCAAACTTAACGTTGATCTCCGGTTATTCACTGCTGCGTACACCTCAACCATTATTCTTTCCAAATTTATTCATTCCAAGTGCAGAATTCAGTTTTTGAAGTACAAAAACCTCAACCGGTTTTTGAAAAACTCCATTTAAAAGTACACACAACAAAATTTGCAACGCTCGTCCTGAAAATACACATACGCGGGACGCGTTTTGGACGCGATATCCTATCCGGTCTATAGAGTGCCGAAGTGAATACGTCACGCGCACAATTAGTGTGTAAAAGGCATTAGCGCGAAAACCAACACGCGCTTGTACTCCATTCGTTTGCACAGCACTTTCTGGTTCACAGTCACACGGCCAAAGATTATATAGCGCCGCGTAGCGGCGCAAGATGGGTAATTCGGCCATAAAGGTGTTATCACCATGGGCGCCATTCGAGTGTGAACGTTAATGTGTGTGCGTGCCTGTCGCGGCGCATGCGCCTGTGCATTAACATGCACTGTGCAGGCGTAGTCCAACCAGAATGGCGCCCCTATGATAGCAACGTTTTATGCGCATTCATGGTGAAATTTCCCATCTTGCTCCGCTACGAGGCGCTATGCGATCTTTGGTCACGGCCCATTTCGGTACTCTACAGAGTACCGGAGTGAATGCGTCACACGCACACTTATGTGTGTAAACAGCGTTAGCGCGAGTACCTGTGCGCGAACCAACGCGTGCGTGAATAAGAGAAAGGACCATAGCGGTCGATGTCAATTCTATTATTTTAATTTCAGGTCGGCGCGTTTGTATGGGAGAAACCCTGGCTAAGATGGAGCTGTTCCTTTTCTTTGTCAACCTCCTCCAGCGATTCACATTCTCCTTCCCTGCTGGCAAGCCCCAACCCTCTATGGAAGGAATCGCTGGCGTGACTCTGTCACCGATGCCCTTCGAATGCGTGGCTACAAAGCGGTAAAGCCAAGTGTGAGAATGAACAGCCTGTGTTTATTCTCGGTTTTAATGCTTTTTAGCCGTTTCAAGACTAAAATGTTACGCAGAGCCGGATCCAGGGGGCGTGGAGGGCGCACGTCCATTTTTCACCCACCCACCCATCAAACCGAAAATCATTGACTTCCATTTTGTTTCTATGTTGCAGAAGAAAAATGGGTATGTATATGTAAGGTTGCTAGCATGATTAATAATTCGTAGAGCTGCTTTCTTGTAACGATAGTCGGTTGATTGAGTTTTCAGACAAGCACGCCAAAGTTAAATTCCATAGTTGTTGGAAGACAAAAGTAGGATAGTTAAGTAGTTAGGTACAAAAGACGCAATTCTATTGAGTACACCAATATTATAGGTAATCGATGTGGTTGTTCCAGGATAATTTATTATCAACGTATAAATCCAGAAATTTAGTGCAGTCTGTCAAAGTACTTTTGCTTTTATGTACCTTGGTGAAGTTTGCAACGAATTACTAAACAACATTTAATGAAAGTTTGTTGGCTTTTGCCCAGTCGGATATTGATTCAAGTTAAGAGTTTACAGTGGCAATCAATAGACAAATTTACTGATAAATTCCTATTTATGTGCGTATGCGCATGAAAGGCAAGTGGAGGCGAAAGTCGTGAGCGGCCCATTAAAAATGAAGACGGGCACAAATTTCATCGTCATTTTTCTCACAGCTTTTGTCAATTGATTCTTGATGTTGTGGTGTTTTCACTAATAATTTGGTTTAAAACTTTCCAAGTGCGTTAGAAGGTAGCTAGAATCATTTTGTATCAGGTAGACATTGGTTCGTTTCATTACGTTTAGCAACAATGATGAAACATTGAAAAATTTATGATAGAGCTTTTTCTTTTACTTTTAAACAAATGGTGTGATCGAAGATAATTTGGGATTGTCCTTATTTTTCTTTTCTGCAGGGAACAGTTTTGTATCATGTAATAATTCAAATCATGTGTTACTTTGTCTAGATTATTTTTGGTAGAGAGTTGCCTTTTGGGATAACTTTGGGGGAAACATTAGACATTGGTATTGGACAAATTGGAAAATGGTTGCCAAAATCTGAATTTAGAATGAAATGAATATAAAAATGAAACCAGACATGTGTAAGACTTTGGTGAATATTATCGTCAATTTGTGTACCTGAGTTTTGGGTTACCCCCGTCGGCTTATCTGTGAGTAGAATGAAGGAATATGAAAACCTGATATTAATGACATTTTGAACTAAAGTACTCTCTTCACAATTTAGAAGGTTTATCTTGGTATCCAACAATTAAACTATGTTAATTCTCATTTGAAATTTTCTTTCTTTTCTGTGATGTGTATTAAATCAGCTAATAGTTTTTTCTAAGGATAACTTTGCTCGTGAATTTCATTTTTAAAAGGGATCACCTCTACTTTTCTAAAAAAAACCCCACCCTGGTTCTATACTACTGCATTTAATAAGACTATTGTGATTTTTTCAATAATGCTTTCAAATCAACTTTTTTTTCTGGACGTCTTGGTATATAGCCACGTACAGAATGTGGTATCCGTGCTTGCCACAAAAAGTCATTGTTACATTGTTGTCTCGTGGAAGGCAACTTCTTCTCCAATGACTTTCTCCACCTTTTCATGTTGCCTAATTTCCAAGATATACATGTTGTTGATTTTGAGAAAAGTCTAATATAACAGTAGGTATTGTCTGACCTGCTATATACGAAACCAGACGAATCGGAGGACTGTAAATCACCCTTCTTACTCGTTTCTGCCGTGTGAAAAGATTACTGTAGGGCCTGGGGGTATCTGCTTGCTTAGAAGGGATATCTCATTCATTCTGTTTACCTGTCCCTATACACTGCCCATCAGACTTCGAATGTGGGGCCGTTTAATAAGGGACAGTAAATTTGAAGGAATTGCATTTCTATGTTAATCAGGAAATAAATATGCGCTTGGCCGGTGCAGCTCGGGTCGCTTCCATTCTCCTGAGCCGGTCTTAAAGGGTTACATAAATATAAAACATTTAGTTCGCTGGAAGTGTTTCAAAAAACACCAATAAATACGTAACCATTTCAAAAACATCATAAATTTAATGTTTGCCCCCCATTAATTGTGGCCCCCAAATGAATAACAAGATCTTGCGTTTCCCCGCCCACAAAAATCCCCTTTTGGCTGTTCGCGCTGCCATGCTGATTGGATGACGTCATCGCCAGAACGATGCCAGTACAGTGTACAGTGAACTTTTATTCATTTTGGGTTTTTAATTAATGGGGTATACATTAAATGTATGATGTGCTTCAAACGGTTACATATTTATTGTTATTTTAAAATACATCTCGTGAACTAAATGTTTTCTATAACCCTTTAAACGTTAGTATAAAGGATCCAGGAAATGATTGTTTCTGAGAAGCCCCATCCTGGTGACGCGGAACAGCAACTCATATCAGCAAATACATAGAGCTATCAGCAAAAATGTATGAAAAGCAATTGTCATATCAACATTTTTGGAGTGTACCTGCTCGGTACGAAGCCTTCGATATGCAAATTCATACAGCAATTACATCTGGCAGAATGCAAAATTACCCAACTTTCATGAACAAATTAACAAGGATTTACTCCAGCATACAACAACTTTGGGCCAACCATCAAACACTGGGATCAGACAGATATTTCCACGAGGTGCGGCCCGACTTGGGCTTACACTAGGTTGCTAGAATAACGGGCAACTAATGAGCATTTTCAACAACCACTTACAGCTATTTATGTCAAACGACAGAAATTAGTGAGTACGAAATGGCTTTTCTTAATTTGGCCCTTAATAATCTAGTGACTCCCCGGACAAAGGAAGGGGTCAGGCCTTTCCTTTCGGCACATTCCCATAAGTGTCGTAAATAAGAATACAGTGCCTTAAAACCGAGGTCAATTTGCGGTCCCT